TTTTCAAAAAATGATTCAACATATATTGTTATGTTCTCTTCATTTAGAAAAATTAGTAGGGAAAATACGATTGACGTTGAAGAAAGGCAAGTAGACCTGAATTTCATGGTCAAAAATATCCATCAAGCAATGATTTTTACTTATCACCTATCTCTATTAACAGATGAAACATTCATGAAATGTAACATACTAAAGTCACAATAGCTGCAATTCTGTTCTACCTGTCTTTGACAGTCACGTAGTACAAACATCAACTCTGCTTAAAATATGATTAACTTTAACTTCCAAAGGAGGCAGAACTAAATGACAAACAGTGTGAAGTGATGATGCCTTTCCAACATCACCAGTTTGGCAGCTATAAAATATGCACTTTAACAGAACACAAGAGGCATGCAACAATTAGAGCTTTCTGAAGTCTCTAAACAGACTAAAGTAAACTGATTTGACCAGGCTTCAAAAAGGAGACACGGTAGAGGCAGTATTAGTCATAAAATGTTCCCTCATTTGCAAACTACAGTAGAGATTTCTAACACAGTATATTTTCTATATGTGCATGTGTGTAAAATTCATAAGGACAACCAAACTTAGGCTGTGATTAAAAAAACAGCACCCTAATGGCTAACAAAATCTTAAGGTCACTTCAAATAAAACTTTTCTTTTCCCTAATAAAGCCAGTAGGGATTACTTATTCTCATTATGCAAAATAGTGCTCTTGATTGAAAATACATTGTAAAATACTGTAAATCCTTACTCCGGCCTCTCATTGATTGTTCCCAATTTTGCTAGAAGCCTAAACAGTCTTCCATTTTGAACCTCCTATAAAACATTTTAAAAAGAGAGAGAATGTTAATGTTCCAGCTAAAAGAATATAAAAGCCAAAGTTTACAAAAACTGGTATCCTGCACCAATATTACCTTTACAATAAATCTTAACATCCCCACCTTTTGGTTATACTTTTAAACACAAAAACATGTCCATTTCATTCAATAGTAGTACTCAAGAAGATTATGTAATTAACCATTTTTAGGAATTATTCAAGTAACACATGAAAGAAAACAAAATTTTTCTCATATGACTGTAGCAAAGCCCTGAATGAAAAGAAAAAAATGCCCAGAAGTCATAAGGAATTAAAATATTGAACATTCAGTGTGAACAAAAATATCTGCAATTTTAGCATATTAGGCACTGTATTTAGTACTATGATTACTGTGTTATATACCTATTTATACACACAGATGCAAGTATGTGCACTCTCTCCTAAACATACTCTTTACCTTTGCAAGGTCTTCCTCTATGACATCATTTCTCATTTGAGCAGCATCCAACTGAGTATAAAATCGAGCACCAATCATGGGCATAATGTCATTTACACTTCGCATCCTGTTTTGGTCAGTCAACAAATACCTAACCAAGATAAAGAGGAACCACTTGAATGCCCAACATGCAATTTAAGAAACAACATAACCCACAAACACTGCTGTTGCCATAAGCTAAGTGTACACAATTCTGAAAATACTTTTTCAGGCAAGTACTTTTTTGTTTTGTTTTGGTGGCTGCCCAGTAGGGGGATCCGAACCCCTGACTTTGGTGTTATCAGCACTACGCTCTAAAAGAGTGAGCTATTTGGCTAGTCCCTAAAGTTTTTTTTTTTTTTTTTCCTTTTTTTGTGACCGGTAACGGGATCGCAACCCTCAGTGTCCCGCCCGCACCGCGCTCAACCAATGAGCGGACCGGTCTCTATATGGGATCCGAACCCTCGGTGGGAGCGCCGCC